AAAGTTTGTTGTCATTTGGAAGTGTGTAGGCCTTCTTGCATTATTATGCTGCTACATTATGATTATATATTCAGTGGCATAAAATGGTCTTTAAAATGACAATAATATCGCTTATCGCAATTATTTCTGGGGCAATATATCGCACAACAAAAAGTTATCGTGACAGGCCTACCTGTAAATACAATAAAACAAAATGATTCATCTCATGAGTTAGATGACCACATTTAACATATAATAATAATATTAAATTTAGTACATAACTCAAAAATAGTTAAACATTTCATTTTAATATCTTGTTAAATTCAATCCCCAAAGTTTAAAAAAAAAACCTGTATGAAAATATAATAGCATAGAAGTGAAAGTTTGTTTCTGCAATAACTAAGCCAAAATCATACGAAAATTATAATTGTAAATTGAGATCTCAAATGTTATTTGAGAAGAAATGATGACTGAAGACTATGGTAAAAGACAACCTAACACTCTTGCTTTTGGCATGACATAACCCAAACATTTCATTCATTATGATATCCTCAGGAGTGAGCACTGACAGTTAAAAAAAAAGATGTGATGATATGACGCATGACTGAACAGGGTTGATCTTAGCAGAACGCAGCAGACTTACAGTCAAGAACCATTTTCAGCCCATGCAGAAGAGTTAATTTGGCCACACTTATCCACACTAAAATAAAATATGTGGAAGGGCAATAGAGCAGCCGACTCCACCTCACCTGAGTTAAGGATTTGTACAATATGAGCTCATTGTCATAAGGGCATAAATGAACATTATCTATACTCTGACTTAGGGCTGCACGATTATGACAAAATTCATAATTGTCGATTATTCCCTTGAAATTGTAATTGCGATTATTAATTACGATTATCACAATTTACATTGAATGATGTTTATACCATTGTTTGATGCAACTGCACGCCGTATTTTTTATATGAAAATAAACAAGCTGAAAACACTAACTGAAAAACCTTTAGTGCTTTTCTATACTATTAAGCCTTCAAATGTCAAATATACATCGGAATGGTTTCTTCTTTAAATTATAAAAAAAGTTAAAATATGAATGGTATTATAATGTTATACTAAAACAATGGAAAAACCCTTAAGATAACATGTAGAAAGAAAAAAAACATATCTTAATTGTGCAGAATAACATAAGTGGACTTTGAACGATTAATTGCCGCTTTGAACGATTACGTAATTGTGGCATCCATAATTGTAATCGCGATTAGAAATTCGATTAATTGTGCAGCCCTACGACGGCTGAGGAGTATAAATAAACAGCAAGCAGCCCTGGGTCCACAACACATGCTGGGAATAGTGACAGTAAGCTGGGTACGAGCACTAAGAACAGATTAGGCAAAGCCTTTATTAGCCAGGGATTCCAGGTTCAGAGTCTGTTTATTTAGGGACTCCTCCTACTGCAAACAAGATCCTGACCCTAAAGTTCAAAAGAGAGGATGGAGGGTTAAGGCCGATGTGGAGAAACATCAACACATTCAAGCTACAAAATTCTGTGGGACGCTTTAAACCTTCATTAAACACAAACACACTTTTTCACGGCTGTTAAGAGTCTAAAACACAGACAAAGACGCGTGTGTGGCGAGAAGGGTTAGACGCACAGATCTTCAACCTAAGTTTAAACATTTGCATACGGCACAGTTCTGAACCAAACGCTTTGCATTTCAGTGTTACCAAGGACAGGCTCTGCCTTCAGGATGACATTTCGTGCCACACAGATTCTGGGCTTTTCCAGCCCTGCATACAACTAGACACTAAGCAGGCTACAAGTGTTCACTCAAAACCTGGATATTTGAAAGGCAAATTGGTTTCTGTGCTGACCTACTAATGTGATATTAGCGTCTACATTTTTTCTTGCTTCTCAACCCAACAAAATAATCTTTTCAAACTCAAAGCAATAATGGAGAATAGAAATTCAGCTTCTGTGACACTATTCTTGTGTAACATCTGGTGATCAATTACTCAAATGTCAGCAAATGGCTACAGAAAGTTCTGATTTTACATTTCTGATGAAATGTAATTTGGCTAAGTTTACCTGGCTACAAGGCGAAAGCAGTCCATTAAAGTTAGTGTGATGTATATCTTTTAAAACCACACTGTAGGCCTGTTGCCACAAAGGATAACGTTTTAGGGGGCATATTTTAAAAAAAATAATAATAATAATTTATGCATTTAGCAGATGCTTTGATCCAAAGCAACTTACAGTGCATTGTCAAAGATGTTCTTACTGGAAACTATCATAGCATCAGTGTTCAAAATCAACAATTGCATTAATTCTAATATTTTTTTCTCTACAACTAAATATCTTCCTCATAATATTTTTGAGGATTTATTTTCAGTGTTAAAGCTGTGAATTATAAAATCAGCAACCTGGAATGCTTTTCACCTCTTTCGGCATTCAATTTGACCCATATATTAAAGTTAAAAGCAGCTCACGGGTATAAAAAAAGCTTAGTTTACCACGGCAGCCGTCACGTGACAGCCTCCTCGTGTGAAGACTGAAGAGTGTAAAGACCATCGACTCTATAGAGGATCTACAATAATGTACAGTATTTGAAAAATAATGTGTTTTTTGAACATTAAAGCATGTCAACATATTCTGTTACACCAAATACACAAAATAATGATCTTTAAAAAAGCATCATATGACCCCTTTAAACTGGTCAAAATCAACAATTGCATTAATTCTAATATTTTTTTCTCTACAACTAAATATCTTCCTCATAATATTTTTGAGGATTTATTTTCAGTGTTAAAGCTGTGAATTATAAAATCAGCAACCTGGAATGCTTTTCACCTCTTTCGGCATTCAATTTGACCCATATATTAAAGTTAAAAGCAGCTCACGGGTATAAAAAAAGCTTAGTTTACCACGGCAGCCGTCACGTGACAGCCTCCTCGTGTGAAGACTGAAGAGTGTAAAGATCATCGACTCTACCATGCGACTCCACCGGGCAGGGACACCGGCAAAGGATAAGTATCGCTTTTTTATTTCTCCTCTTTCCTATTACTTGTTTTGCTTCTGTTTAAGTTTTTATAACCATTTCTTACTATGTGTCAGGAAGTTGTTGTTTTTTAGCATGTCAGTTTGGCAGTGTTATATTTTAGGATTACTGATAAACTACTGTCGTTTGATTTGTATTTGTTATTTATTTAAATTTTAGTTAAATTATGTCTGAATTTTATGTCTGAATTTATGTCTGTTTAGGCCTTTTATTAAGTTTTAGTTTTTTTAATACTTAAATGGAAATGAAATATATTGAATTTATAAATATGTATGTAATGTGTGTGTATATATATATATATATATATATATATGTGTGTGCGTGGTTGTACATATACACATGTAGTTTTTTTTTTGGTGTTTGGCTTAGTGTTATGTTAGAATCATTATTATACTCTTATACCTTTTGTTCTTTAATATTTTCAATTGTTTTTAGCTTTATTTTTTGTTTTTCATTTAAATGTTAAGTGTTGAAATTGTGTTGTATGCATTTGTCATTTTTATTTAATTTCTTTATTTTTTTAAATTCTTTTATTAAGTTTTAGTTTTTTTAATACTTAAATGGAAATGAAATATATTGAATTTATAAATATGTATGTAATGTGTGTGTATATATATATATGTGTGTGTGTGTGTGTGTGTGCGTGGTTGTACATATACACATGTAGTTTTTTTTTTGGTGTTTGGCTTAGTGTTATGTTAGAATCATTATTATACTCTTATACCTTTTGTTCTTTAGTATTTTCAATTGTTTTTAGCTTTATTTTTTGTTTTTCATTTAAATGTTAAGTGTTGAAATTGTGTTGTACGCATTTGTCATTTTTATTTAATTTCTTTATTTTTTAAAATGTTTATAAGCAGTATTTATAAAGTTTTAGCTTTTAGTTTTGGATCGGTTTTTAGTTGTTTTAATACTAGTTGATTGCTTCTGTTGTCCTCATTCGTAAGTCGCTTTGGATAAAAGCGTCTGCTAAATGACTAAATAAATATATGGCTACCAATAGTTTACCTACTGTATATGCATAGTAGTTACTAAATATAGTGCAAAAACCCCTACATTGTGTATAAACACTTGTCTAATTAAACGTTGTATAATCAATTAATTAGCATGAATATAATCACATCACTGCTATTTAAAAATATTCATAAAATGGAAAGCTTCAACTGCAAAATGAGGTGCAAAAAGTTGCTCAACTAGGGGCCTCAGCAAACAAGCAGCTTTGTCATAATTACAGCAGAAATTTAAAATGTTGAGAGAGTATGATATTACTATTATTACTCCACCAGGGGGAGTCAAATTCTTTGTTAGGGCCTATTAGATTTATACAAAAGAGCAATATTTTATCTTCAATAATTAAAACGAACATAACCCTCATTCCTGAATAAAAGACATGGAAAGGTTGAACTCACAGAAAAGTGATGGGATATAATTTATTATCTTTAAAATAGAGATGTCAGTTCCATTTACCAAGTCTACCACTTTGAACAGACATTACCTAGCACTTAGTCTGCATATTTTACATTAGGAATGTACAAAACACTATGTTATTGCCAGCCAAAGCATTCAGCCGAGTTACCTTTTACAAACCTAGCGATCATTATTATTTTTAAGACAAAGGAAGACCATGTTTATTCACACAAACAAACAGTTTTCAAGGATGGAAGCTGGTTTTTCCAGATGGTTGGCAATCCTGACATAGTACATAATGTTTTTCACAAGTATTTAGCCAATGTCTAGACATAATGCAGCCTGATTCATGAGGAACCCAGATAATTCCACCTCTTGATCTGGTGTTCATCAGCATCAACATAAAGCAGATACCCAACCCAAGTCTGACAAACGCGGAGTGATTTAATTCAAACAGAGCCTGCATACTAACATCATCTTGGTTCAGCTCATTAAATGAATGTAGTAGCACCAGTGATTAAATGGAGGACTTCATCCAAACAACATTTCTATCATGTCAACTTCCTGAATTTGAGGCAACGTAATTATGGCTCTAACTGGTAAAACAAACAACTGATATTTAGGTAAAGAGCACTTGTAAAGATGTACCTGTGTAAACAGCATATATGTTGAAAAATAAATGTCTAATTGTTAAAGAAATCTGTTTTAGAATGGGAAGGCAAGGAGGAATACAAAGCGCACGCGCGCGCGCACACACACACCTCACCACAGTGAACAAGTCTTCATCTTAATGCTCAGCATAGGCACAAAGTGGCTATTTCGGTGGCAAACACATGAAGAGACCAGAACAACATACATATTGAAAACAGATCCAGGGTGAAAACAAAAGGCATGAATGAAGGTTATACTACATATTAAGGACAGAAAACAAGATATGATATGTAACAGACCTGATGGTGTAGGGAAGTCCAATTTTACCACAAAATTTCTGAGTTAAATGGTATGGCTATATTAGTTTGAATATATTAAATATCAATTAAAATGTGGGGCTTATGGAAAGGAAGCACATTTCCGATAAACATCTTCACACCAGATGGCAAAAATAAACACAAGGAGGATTATGGTGTTAGTTGCAAACGTTTAAATGGTCAATTATGCATCAGCATCAGTTTAAGTATGCATGGTAATGACAGTACAAGCATGTATGCTTCACAAATGTTCGCACTTAAGCCAAAAAAACTCATTTGCACATTTTTTCCCCACATGTACTACCGTTCACTCACACTCCTTTCAAATTCGAGCCATTAAGCTCCTTCCAGCGCGAATTTGCTCGTATCTGAGACAAAAGGCTCTCTCCATTGTAGCGGTAGCTCTGATCTCCCAATCTCATCCACCACATCAGTACCAAATGACTTCACCCACATTTAACTCAGTTTTGTATTAAATCTCCCTGTTTTTCTGCCACCAGCACAAAACTGGATCCACTGGGAAAACAAATAGCATCTTTGGCTGCAGGTCTGAGAAAACCTGAAGAGCAAAAATGTATTTGTTTCTTCCCCCCTAAAAAACTCAGCACCGTTCGGTCTCAAGTCTGTTTGCATAGGCTTTACGTTTTTTTTAAAGCAGCTTTTTCAGGTATGATATGTCAGAAGATATTAAAGTGGTTGAACTGACATATTAGCATGAACTTGACAACTTAAATTAAAACATCAAATCGTAGCTCTTCATATCTGTCTAGATGGCCTAACAGAACGCCTGTTCTTTAACTTTGATATCTTCATTATGTATGGAGGCCCCTGAGGCTCATGTGAACTTTTTTACTTGATCTAACGCTACTGAGAAGGGCAGAACGGGAACAGCCTGACTCCATAACCAGCCATGACTGATCAAATACAAAAGTAGTCTAAAGTGCAAACTGAAGATCATGTTGCAGATGCCCCCTTGATTGCAGAAAAGTCTTGTTAATTTTACACTTGACAAGACTCCATCTTAGCGCATGCATTTTATAACATGCAGCTTGAAGGACCTACAAAAAAAAAAAAATGAATGTCCAGTGTGCATTTCATTTTTTCTCTCTCCATAGACCGTAATGTCCCTCGCTCACTACATGATGAAGCCTGGCTGGGGTGCCATGCGTGGAGGGGGTCTCTGGGGCACAGGTGGGGCATATTGCTGCATGTACATGTTGGGGTATCCCTGGTTAAGAATGGGTGGCATGTTTCCTACTCTAGGGGGAATAGGGGGGTATGGAGAAGTGGGTGTGAATGGAGAGGCCGCAGCGAACGGAGAGGTAGGAGGGTAGGAGAAGGCTGCGGTGGGCTGAGCAGGAGGAGTTTGGGTGACTTTAACAGGGGGAAGAGGAGGAGCCCGCCGGGGCATCGGCATGGGGGAACCATTGACCTCTCTATGGAGAGCGGCTGGCCTGGAGGGAAGGTCCTGAGAGCGAGAGGGCTGAGGTGCAGCTGGGGCCATGTGGTGTCCCTTCAGCACCATTTCCTGGAGTTTCTCTATCTTGACTCTCCGCATGTGCGCCAGCTTCCTCTTACTCTGATACTCATCGATGAATGTGTCCAGGGGGGTTGCGCCATCGAGGAGCGAATCGGCCATGTTCTGATTTGAAAAAGAGAGAAATAATAGCATGATCATTGACTAATGAGTCCATCAGATGATGAACAATCCCCAGCAGATATCTAGTGCAACTTTAAAGGTGCCATAGAATGCATTGATACAATATTTTAAATTGTTCTCTGATATCTACATAGAAGGTATTTGGCTTAATGCGGACATCAGGGAGTATTGAAACTGCATTCGAATGCACGATCGCGTTTTACTTTCACTTTCGAGATTTGCGATCGCACGTGATCTGTGTAAACTACAGCGGCAGTACTTACCACACATTTTACAAGATCAGATGCTTTTCAATGGTACTCGGGATCTGTAAATCATTCGCCATCATCCTCAGTCATCTCTCCTAACTCTGTTTATGTGGTAAGTGAAATCTTATGTACTGTAATGTAACAGGCTACCGCTAGCAAGCAGCTAACATGTCCCTTTAGTGGCTCGCGTTATTTTATTAGAACGCGCGTTATTTGTTTTCCGTGCCTTTCTGATTACAGACACCAACCCATCCCTGCACTTCACACCCCCTGCACAGTCTGTAACATAACATTTATTTCCATGATCTGCCATTTTCGCTATTATCCTCGCTTGTTTGTTCACAATACCTGCAGAACTTCTGATGATTCGGCTGTGCAGGTTCGGCTGGCAGCTGGCATAGAACATGGGCGGGTAGGCATGGGACGATAACCGGTTTCAAAGTATAACGCGGTTTGGAAAAGTCACGGTTTCAAAACCACACAAATTTTCCGTTATACCGTTCCTGCGGTATGCACAGTTTTTTTTACGCGTCATCAAAGACAGAAAGTGCATGACTCCCTCAGTTGTGTGCAGCGAAGAGCGTAACGAGTCACACGACCCCTCCTCCTCCGGTTTGTGCAGTCAGTGCATTTTTCGGGTAACGTAGACTAACCATGTTCCGTACACAATGATGTTCTGTACAGATGACGTTTTAGCTCCGATCGCTAAATAAATACTTCCAGGTCATACATAAACTACATATCTGTGTCATCTTCATTTCTCCCTCTTTCACCCCTGATCAAGACCCATCCGCCGTTTGTTTCAGTGTTGAAATAAATACTATTTGGCTTGCTACCGAGGCAGATAACATGGCTAATTAACTAGCTAACGTCAACTAGTTTGCTCCCTCACGTTACTTCACAGAGCGCGGAATACCAGACTAAAGTACTAAGTTTCTGCGATTTAGTACAATAATTAAATTTAGCTGGTAACGCCACAACAGATGTCTGTGCATACAGACTTATGAAAAATGAATTTGCCAAGTCTGACACCTCATATAATATTTTTGAAAAAAAGAGAAAAAAACCCAGCACAAATAAATTAATGTTGACCTTTTATTTGTATTTAGTCTTCATTCAAACAAGAAATGTGAAATTCTTTTAATCCTGCATTTTTTTTATCCAAAATACAGCAAAAACAGTAACATTTTCAAATATATTTACTATTTAAAATAACAGTTTTCTATTTGAAAATATTTTAAAATGTAATTTATTCCTGTGATTTCAAAGCTATATTTTTTTGCATCATTACTCCAATCACATGATCCTTCAGAAATCATTCTAATATTCTGATTTGCTGCTCAAAAATTATTTATTATGTTGAAAACAGCGGAGTAGAATATTTTCAGGTTTCTTTGATGAATAGAAAGTTCAGAAGAACAGAATTGATCTGAAATAGAAATCTTTTGTAACATTATAAATGTCTTTATCATCACTTCTGATCAATTTAAATCATCCTTGCTAAATAAAAGTATTAATTTCTATAATTTCATACTGACTCCAAACATTGTGTATAACGTTACAAAAGGTTTTTATTTCAGATAAATGCTGATCTTTAGGTCTTTCTATTCATCAAAGAATCCTGAAAAAAAAAATTCTGTTTTAAATATTGATAATCAGCAAATGATGTAATGATGCTGAAAATTCAGCTTTAATCACAGGAATAAATTACATTTTAAAATATATTCAAATAGAAAGCAGTTATTTTAAAATTCTTAAAAAAAACAAAAAACATTAAAAATCTTACCGTTCAAAAACGTTTGACTGGTATTGTAGGCTGACAGCCAGTATAAAGAGTATGAAAAGTGCAAACTGCTTGTCTGCCAGCAGGGGGCGGTTAAGAGCGAAGTTTTGATTTTAAAACGTGCAGTGCTCATGTTTATTCAATGAAGTCAAACGCCACAAATAAATCAATGTATGGGAAACACTGGTAATGTAGGCTATATCGAAATTTCGGAAATGTGTTTAAAAACCATATCACCGTTTCTGAAAAAAAAAAAAAATATCGCGATACATATTGATATTGAATTATTGTCCAGCCCTAACACATCCTCGTACCTCACCGCTCCAAACTTAATGCAGGAAAGGTGAACATTCCTGCATCATAACTTGGACTGAAAGAGGAATGTGTAGAAAGTGAGCATGTCTCCAAAAACCTTGTTGAGCTGCAGGTTTAATGACTGCATTTTTTATTGATTTATTTTTTTTACAGAAATTGTTTTGACTTATGTTTTTGATTATTGAGCTGCAGCTTTAGGCTCACTTAAGTGACTGCATATTTTTCATTTAATCTGTTTCTTTTTTTTACAGAAAAGAAAAGATGTTCTGATTATTGTTGAGCTGCAGGTTTAGGCTCACTTAAGTGACTGCACTTCATTTAATTAAGAAGAATTCAATTATTTATTTTAAATTATTTAGCCTGACATGTTTACTGTTCCAAAATGTTCTATGTTTCTTAAAAATAAAATGTATCGTGTTCAGTGGAAAATAAAGTTGTTGTTTTTTACCCAGACATTTAAACATAACATATTTTAGAGCTGTAATAGCAATACCGTGATATTTTTATCTAAGGTTATCATACCGTCAGAATCTCATACCGGCCCATGCCTATGGGCGGGTATATGCAAATGTTGGGGTCGTAACTATTAGTGATCCCGACTGTAACGTCACAGTCGGTGTTATGTTCTGATGTTCTGATTTTTCAGTGGTCTTTTGCATGCACGAGATTTACATAAGGAGGAAACAATGGTGTTTGAGGCTCACTGTATGACTGTATGTTGTTCAGAACTGTTATTATTCAACTATGCCAAGGTAAATACAGTTTTCCATTCTATGGCACCTTTAAAGTGTTTAAGCTTCGTGGTAATGGATGTACCTCAGTTTCTTCCTCGATTTTGGCTCCTTCTGCTTGTAGGAGTGCGAGGAGTGTGTCCAAGGGAGTGTTTCCAGATCTGTCATCTGTGAGGGGACAAAGAAAAGCAGAATGTGTTATAATTAAGATGTTTGAAAAATTGTGACAATAAAATACTGCCTTCCTAGCTCAAGCAGTAAAGCATGGTGTTGGCAAAGCCAAGGTCATGGGTTCAATTCCCAAAGAATTCAACACAAGTCGCTTTGGATAAAAGTGTCTGCCAAATGCATTACTGTACATGTAAACAATATATAATCTGTTACTGAAATAATAATTTCAGACTTATTTTAGTCTGAAAAGGTATTAAACATGTTATGTATTAAAGAAAACGGCACCTTTTGACTTTAGCCATTGCGCAACATCAAAGGCAGCAATATAAATCTGCCAACTTGGTGTGCTTGCCTCAAGTAAATTTGCTAAGGCAACAACAGGGTGTGTTTCACCTTTCAGGAGCCATGGATTTCACAGTACAACTGGACACGCCTGTCAAAAATTCTCAGAGGTCAACAGACATTTGCATCAGAGATGTATTTAATGTACTGATATGCTTAAATTACACAACTTTTTACATAACAGCAATTCATTATCAAGAGAGAAATGTGTAATGTTCTACACTTAACAGACATAGCTCAAAACAATGAGGAAAATGAATTTGAGACCAAAGAGAGATTTGAGATCACAAACCAATATTGTATAGTATACATATAATGGAATACATAAATAAATATATACAAGTAAATAATAGCTTAAAGCTGTCGGACATCTCAAACTGCATTTTGACAGCTTGTAATTCATTACCAAAGGGCCACTTTCCCTCATATGCCATTCCATATCAGTCAAGCTCTCTTCGCTGATTTACATCTATTTACATTTATTTTCCTGACAGAGGCAACTTACAAAAGTGTTATTATGTTTTGTTGTTGTTGTTGTTGGATATATATGTGTATGCATGTATACGCACACACTTCAGTTAAAAACTTTGGGGTCTTTGTTTTTTGAAAATATATTTTTGAAAGTCTCTTATGCTTGTAACCTTCTTTAAAATAAAAAAATATATATTTGTAAAGATTTTTCATGAAAACAAGATGCCAATAACGAACCTTTATTTTTAAGAGGTAATGTTTCATTTATTTGATAAAAAAATACAGTAAAAGCAGTAAAATTGTGAAATAAATATTACTGAAAACAACCGTTTTCTATGTGAATATATTAAAAATTATAATAGTAATTTATTCCTGTTATGCAAAGCTGAATTTTCAGCAGCCTTTTACTCCACTTCAGTACTCCACTTCACTTCAGTGTCACATGATCCTTCAGAAATCATTTTAATATGCGGATTTGGTGCTCAAAAAATATTTTTAATTATTTCCAATGTTTCCAACCGTTGTGATGCTTAATACTTTTGTAGAAATTGTTATTTCCAGGTTCAAGTTCAAAACAATAGCAATT